GAAAAAATTGAGAACAAATATTTCCTAAGAAATAAGTATATTATTATTTGTTAAATAATAATAAGATAAAAATTGACTAACGTTGATCACACAGGGCTGTCTCGAGGGTGGACCTTTCGGCGGCGGTCGCCTGTAGCAGCAGCAACGCTAATCTCTCCACCGTGGGCAGGTCGAGCGCATTTTCCACCAGCAATTGGCGATTGACCGCGGGTTCTGCGCCAAACACACCGAGGCCGACTCCACCGGTTTCGCCACAACGCTGGCCGAGGCGGTTTTCGAATCGACAGACGCCGCAATTGCCGGTACCACCGGAGTCTCACCCTTCGACGATGACGTAGCACCGGGAGTCGCGCGGTTCTCTGTCGAGCCTGGTGGAATAACAAAGCAAAAAGGAGATCGACGAGCCGCTGGATGATCTTATCGCCAGTATTATACGTATATACGTTCTTCACCGTCGGCGGGACAAATTACGAATTTGCGATCGTTTCTCGACGTTGGACGCGATCGTTCGGATAAACTGTCTTCACGGAAGGAAACTAAAAGAGAAAGGAAAGGTTTCGATGAAGGTATCTCTCTATGAATTACATAAAGACGTGCCTGTTTTTTGCATTTGAGATATTTGGGGTATATTTAGAGGAACATTTTACGAGGAAGTTCGAGAGACTCTCACAGGGGTAAATAATAATTATCTGTGCTCTAGCAAAATGGCACACGTCGGCTCGATTCAAACGCGTCGGGCTGGAAAATGCTGATACATCGAATGCGCGTAACGCACGTTGCTGGGAATTGTTGGTAATGTTGACTTATACAAAGTTGTTACAAGTTTTGTTGCTTATACTCAGCGAGAAAGTGCTTTTATCGCGGACGGGATGGGAAACGACGAGATTCTCTTTGTACGCAACGGGGGAAACTTCGCGTTTTAAGAGTGAGTTAATTTCGCGTCCTAACGATTAGACCTTCCCGATTAGACCGTCCTGATTAGATTCTCTCGCGGAGAAATACGAGAGGAGCGACGTCGATGGATACTGACAATCTGTCATTTAAATAAATCACCACGAAAAGGTTCGAGTAGTTGAATTGATACGGCCGCGTAATGGATCGATCTGCGAGATGAAGTAGTAAATTGGAAAGATTGACACATTCGGGACGTGGAATTAATCCTTTGGGGCTTTATCAGTTACAACGATAATTGCGTGCAATTAAGTGCGACCGGTTATTTCGCGCTTTTACGGCGCCTTTCAATCCCGCTAATAACGCGCTCGTTAACGATCCCCGCGTATAATTTTTCTCCGGGAGATAATGCGCGTATCGTTAAACCAACTAATTATTGGTTGTGAAAAAGAACGTTGCTCAAAGCGGCAATTATGCAATATGTACAACAACGTTCCCAAAGGATTAATAAAAGGTAGAAAAATACATAATAGCTTGAGCGTTCGAAATGTAGTTTGGTAGCTGTTGAAACTGATCGCGCAAAGTGGAAATATCGAAGAATATTTTTCGATAAAACTTACGGCGTGTTCGTGTGAGAGAGATCGAATGTGTGTGCGTGTGTGTATAAAAATATAGGTGAGTCGTGCTAGGAAAATGAGATATGAAACCGATTTGCTCCAAGATCCATGTGTGGTGGAAAGCTCATGCTACGATGGACCGAACAATTTCGCGCGATTATGTTCGTAGGAAATGAAGGACCTTCGTTCCATAAACTCGTTCTATTAATTTCGTTCGCAACCGTCCATAGTCGATTGTTGGCTTTCTAGCGAGATCGCACTGTTTTATCACACGTTGTTGAAACGAAAGGGCATTACATGTATGCACACGTATACGTGTACACATGTTGGAAATGTACATTGACAAATGTACATTTGTTGCGCGAAAGGCTTTCAGAGAATTTTATAAGCGCCGCCAGTGATCGCAATTATATTATTATTATATACAAGTAAAGTAGTAGGCATTAGGCAAAACCGTTGTTGTTGTTTCGCCGGCACGAGCACCAGTCGTTTGAATGGATCGAGATTTTAAGATAACGTCGCTTCGATTCTCCTCAGTGTTACTATTGTACACGCATATAAAGTAATGCAGATCGTTTTTAATCGCTCTCGTGTACGTTTCACGTTTTTTTTTACACACACACACACATATACATATATATATATATATATATATATATATATATATATATATATATATATATATATATATATACATGTTGGAAAAACGTACGTTCATCGCGATTCGACGTGCAAGCAATCGTCGCAGCCGATCGTATCAAACACGCATTTTTTTTGTGCGTTACTAATCGCACTCATTTTTCTAAAGAAACATATGCTATTCACACAAACAGAGTTGGATTCATGTATAGATATTTTCTCTTACAGACGCATACTCTTAAGATATTTTTTTAAATAAAAGATATCAACTAAAGTTATATTTACTGTATATTAAAAGGGGAAGAGTAAAATATAATATTAGAGAAATCATGCAAATCATTGTTTAACATTAACAGCAAACGTCTCAGATTAGATGATAACGCCAGACTCCAATTTTATTAAACTTGAATTAGATAAAGATAAATCCGTATATATATATATATATATATATCTAGAAATAATTAAGAGAAGCAATATTTATAAAGGAATACTGGAATATGCAGAATGTCTCACAATGATCGTATAAAACTTCGAAAGCGTATGTTAGGAGGATAGAAAATTTTAGTATTAAAATGTCAAGGTTATAATAATTTTCGGGTCATGAGCAAAGTTGAGCTGGTGGTGGTCTCGTGCGATATTCGCACGCTTAGGCTGACACCTTGTATCGATCTGTCATCTATTATTTCCTTCTCAGGCGATACTGATTTTTCTGCTGCTCGGTCGATTCCGCGTTTTGGGATTTTCACATCTGTGTGCTACATTTATGCGTTTTGAAGGAAGAAAATAATATGACATTTATTTGACATTTATTTTGCAATGCGTTCGGAATTTCGCGATGGAAACGGCGCGACCGACCACGGTTTGCATAGCGGCTCGCGTACGATGGCATTTGGCATACTACTGATTTTCGCGTGCTATTGCGCGCATAAAGTCATCAGAGTCGCTATGTGCGTGATAAAACTCGAGCGGGTACATATTGTCGCGTTATTTCTTAAAATACGGTCGTTTGACAATATGCTAGAAAGCGCTGATTAACGCGATCATTCTTTATGGATGACTATCAGAAAACCCGATTAATCTCTGCGGGGGATTCGTAAGCATATCAATATGGTGATATTATTTATAGTAGAGTAGATATATATATCTTTTTATTTAAATGCGATTTATTTGAAATAGAAATTGAAGGTGACGAGTCTTATATTTATCTTTCATTGGATGATAATTATTTTTTCAAATTAATGCTTAGATTCGGATGAGTTAGTAGATATGTTTCGTTCTTCAGTTGAATTTTTTGTCGTGACTTTTGACTTTTTCATCAAATTACGTATAATTTGATCGTTATTTTTAGATCAGAAACGAGAAATGGAGGACACAAGTCGAGTAATTTAAATAACAAAATGACATATCGATTACTTTTTAATGATACACATTATGTCGCGAATTATATTGTTGCGCGAGCAATAAACGAGCTGAGAATAATATCTCCAGTGGTGCAACGGGTTTTTCTTACGTCATCCTTCTGTCGCAATGTAATAAAACACACATCGCGTACGGTCAATCGGTTAGAAATACCGCACCAAGTACCGCAGAGTCGTTATATTCCATTGATTAGTGCTTGCGCGATTGTAATTAACTGTACAACCGTGAATTAAAGTTGTGTGTAAGCCATGAAGAAGCGACAACGAGGAAATAAAGAAGGGAAAGAAAGAAGGCCTTGGGGGCATCGAGCGACGTTTAAGCAGCTGTGGGGTGAGTAAATTTTTATTTGCTGAATTAATCGGTTATTTCCCTTTAGTTTAGCTTGTTTACTTGGGTAATTTAAGTTATAATTAGAAAAAAAGCATTTTAATCTATAAAAAGATGGTTATGGTTAAGAAGATTTATTTTTAGTTAATAATTATATTTCACTAAATATCTAGTCGAAAGAATGATAAAGAGTGAAGCAATAATTATATCTTGGAATAGAATGATAAAGAGTGTGCAATAATTATATCTTGGAATACGAATTATTTAAGCTATCGATATAATTTACATTTGTATTTCGCAGATTAACGTATGATGTTGTTTTGCCGCTCTACATTGGGTGAGTCTCTGATTATCTTCTATTTTAATTTAATAATTAATCCGTGAGCCTGTGCATCTCTCTGTATATTCCAGATAGATAGTACAATAGCACACAGATTTATTACCTTGACATGGATGGACTAGAATAGATTAATACCAATATTTAATCGTTGAAAATGTATAATCGTCCATCGATCTATTATGCATACAAGAGTGCACATGCAAAATTCATAGAGTAGGGTTTATTGTTGTTGACGCATTATTGATCAGCTTGGTCATTTATCGGCTCATTTTGATATCGCATTAGAAGTAATAGAATATTAATTACAAAGTGCCACACGAAGCGTTTAAATCTTTTAGAAGAGCCTGCATTCTCGCATAAAAAAACGTAGAAAACGTTTCCATTATATCGCATTTTCATGAAGCGTGCTTGAAAAAATGATAATGTTATTTTGTAATTTTCCTAGACGAGATATTATTTGCGAATTTAATAAAAGTATTATTGCACTTGTCAAAAGCACTTTATATAGATTTTCTAGGAAATTTAATTTGCAGTGAAGTTGCGAGGATAAGATACATATTAATTTTAGTATTAAATATGTTAATTAATTAAATTTTCTAGAGTTTAATGTTAGGTAAACAAGAAATTCTCTAAGAAAATAAGCAAAAAGGTAGGTAAAACGATTATAAATAAAATGCTGTTATTTTTGCTGGATACAAAGTTCATTTTATTACTTCCTTGTAGTATTATCTCAAGAATGAAAATGATGGTTGGAACGAAGTAAGTTTATACAATTACATGTATCTCTTTCTATACAATAAAAATAAATTTTGTGTATGTTTGTAAAGAACGGAAGGAAAAATATAACATTTACTTGCATTTGTGTACTTTTTCCTTGTTTCTTCTATCCACATATTTTTTTTAAATGGAATTTGTGCTCTGGATTTGGCTCCTTTATGTATTTTTTCAAAAAATTAATTACGTAATGTATATAATTACGTAAAATGTGTACAGAGAAAATGAAGGAGATAGAGATTTTTTTTCAATATGTACATCAAGCTTAAAAGATAAAAATTATGTTAGTATGATAGAATTCTGCTAATTTATATATAGGTATAATTAATTATTATTAATTAATGACATACATCCCGTAATATCGGTCGGTTTTATCTTATTCTTTCAATAGTCTATTCATCCATAATTATTGACATATTGACTTTATATTATTTAAAATAAAACAAAAAGGTATGAGATTCAATAATTATTTCATTGTAGAATAAAAGTTTTTATGTAAATTATTTTAGAATAATCTTTGTTACACTAACACTCAAATTATTCATTGCCTTAATATATTAATATTGATATTTGACTTTACTATATGTTAACAAAAATATTAAAAGATCTATTTTCCTAAATATAATTTTTGTAAAAACATCAAAATCAATATTTGATATCTAATGGACAATTCACTATCAACATTGTATTAGCGCAAAAATTTTATTTAAAAGTATTGAAAATATTGATATACCATCTAAAATAAATGAAAAACGATGAAAGCTATTGATTCTCAAACATACACAGTTTGTAGTATACAAGTATACACTTTTTATATTTGTAATAAAAATATTGTAATTTTTTTTAAAGGGAAAATTTTAGTTTAGATTTCAAATACTATTGGTTAGGAAACTTGATCATTATAGATTGGAAGTTATTTAATTAAATCGCCGTGCATTTATTAGTACTGAGCAATAAAAATCAATAACAGGCTGATGCGATCTTGAAATTTTTATATTAGAGGATTTTTGCTACTAATAAAATTAACTTTTAAAGTATACGCTGTTGAAATATTGTACAATAAATGTGAGACATTTTGTATATTAAGAACAAGTAATTAGAAAGTAATTAGAAAGTAGAAAAGTAATCGCGTAGAATCGATTAAGCTCCCTTGGAAGTGGAACACTTAGGACTTAACTATTTAATAATTTCTTCATCCACATGCAGGACAAGTAATCAAGTGCAACTCTGTTCGTGAGTCAGAAAAGAGCGGAGGGTGATTTCCTATCGGCGTGTATATATCGTCGAGAGAATTGGCATTGGGCGGATACGAGCTTCTCTGCGAACGCAGAATCGAATATACGAGTTTTCGTTTTACGAGAAAGTAGCGCGCCATGGAAAATGGGGGTAATTCCGGGTTTA